TAAAATAGGTATAAAATGTCACAAATATTTTGAGCAAATATCTTAAAAAACTATATAAGAGTTTGCGCTTCAGAAGGGATTAATTATTTAAGGATTAACGGGTTGTTTGGATCAAATCGTGTTGAATGTTAGCAATTGATGTCCAAATTATTGACATCTTCGCCGATGTCTTCCATAACGCAAAGACGTCTCTTCATGTGTGGCGTGAGTGGAGGGATATAATGGCGAGGAATCAAAAATGTGGACAAATTGAATAAATCCACGAATACTTTGTAGCGATCGCTGAGCGTCGACCTCAGGTAGTGATACCCGGATGAGCCACCGGTGCCGAACTGGTGGGCGCCGATCATTCGCAACACCATCTCTACGTGATTGTCTGCGCGGGAGGCATACCAATGATATCATCAAAAACAATTTCATCCAAAATATATTCAAATCAAATCACAAAAAGTTTTTATATCAAAACAATTTCTCTTTTGCGAGGGAAGGGAAAGGAAGGAAAGGGATTGTCATTAAGTAGTCGTATAACTGTATTGTTAAGGCTATCGCTGTTTCTGCAAATTCACTGTTTGACTGATTGGCGGATATTTAATAAATAACATTTTCCATGTTTCTATTATTTTCATATTTCAAAAACAACATGTGATTCAATAGAAAAGGAAATCAATGTATTATTCAATTCATGAATTCTCAAACTATTTGATTAGCGATTTCTCTCTTCTCTCATATGAAGTGCAATAAACTCTTGTATTTTAATAGTAAACACAATACTCTCCTAATGTCAGGCAAATTATCTGCAGCTGTAGTCACATGTCTAACGAATAATGTTGTAAATAATTAAATATAATAAAACGATTCAAACTTTAATGAGATGTTTGACACCAAAGGAGAGCCAATTTAGGTGGGAAGGGATGTATTAGATACAGGGGTTCATGACTTACACCGCCATTTAGTGATCAAGGAGTCGATATCCATGAGCAGCATCAGTATGTGGAAGGGTTGGTTGAATCGGGGCTCATCCTTGTATAGCGAGACCATAAGCGCGCCCTGAAGTGCCTTATGGGTGAACCTGCGGTCCCCTCTGGCCATCAGTGCGTTATGTTTGTTCACATCAAATATAGAGTCAAATAATTCCGTTTTCCTCTTCCACTCATCCATCAGAACAGCCTTCTGTTGCTCTTCGGGCTCGTTGTCGGCGTCCACTTTGATCTGCTCTAACAGTTGCTGAACAACTGTCTTATACTTCTCCCAGAAGTCAAACTCGTGTTTCTCTAAGCCGGGGGTCCTTTCCAACCACTGCTGCAACAGATCGCAAAGGGAGGGCTCCTCTTCGGCCTGTTTGATCAAATCGATCACTTTTGGGTCTTCGAATATCTTTAGGTAATGGAGTTTCCCGTAATTGGTTCGCAACTCATTCTTGACGCCCAGTTTGTTCTCAATGAGCCGGAACTGGACGCTCTGGAAACCCGACGCCGGCGACAGAAAGTTACGGAACTCCATGAAATCCAGTGGAGTCATGGTCTCCAGTATCGTCACCTGATCCACCAAAAGCTATCCGATCGCACCACCGATTGTATGGTTAGATATTATCATTTTTGCTATTTTAACTACTCGTGTGTCTAATGTTTGTCTATTACCTTAAGTATAAGCACAACTCGATTGAGACGGGAGGTGATGACCAGCATATTGGTCTCATCCACGTCCTATTGGTATGGTATGGTATGTTTGATACAAAAATGGTGTGTTAGTAAATTAGAGGTTATTTGAGATAAGGGGTTAGTATGTGATGCGAACAGTTAGAGAGTAACGAGCACTTGGGGATAGAGACGAGGACAGGAAGGTCTGCACTTACGCTCACCACTCGATTCATTATCTGGCGAACGGAGTCTATTTCGCACAGAATCTGCTTAAACCACAGTTCGTAGGCCTGGTGTGTGATAATGAACAGGTGCTCGTCGTGCACCTCATTGCTTGTGCTCCGAGTCACCGGCTCCTGACATGACAACAATCTGTCCACCTGTTGGTCCCAGTCCGGGGAATAAGACATTTGGTGTTAATTACAAGTTTATGGGTATGTATTGTGTAATAAATGTGCCAAACAAGCGATTAATCAGTTGTTAAGTGTTGATAAAGAAAGTTATGACAAAATATTTTCAATATTTTCGAGAATTTCCTTAGCATTTGACTCATATATTTGTCATAAACATATTAGTAATTATCTATTTTAAATAATAATCGAGAAGTTGGTAGAAATAAACCAGAGATTAATGGCTAATCAGAGAGCATTCAGGCACATCTTAGATGTCATGTACTCTACAGTGCAATCGTGTAATGAAATACCGATTCTTATGAATATATCGCTAAATACATGTACTGTTACAGTGCTATAGTTATAGTGTATGCTCTGTACAGTGTATTAACCATGACATCAGTGATCAACATCGGGGACAAAGTCCGATACTTGGCTTTCCTCAAGTGTAATATCTAATAGTAAAAACTTTATTTTAAGTTCATTTTCACTGCAAAACACTGTCGTAAAGACATACAACTAGCAATTTATTGAAATTTTTAAATACTTTTTATAAAAAACATATTAATCGCCTAAATATTAGTTACAGCGAAAGGAAACGCTAACCAAACAGTCTGTCAATGAGAATGCGATACAAAAAACACTTCGGCAATGAATGAAAACGCAAACGTGTTTTGCAAAAGTTATTTAAATTATATGATCACTATTTCTGAACCTAATTATCATTTGATGAGTGATTAATGAAGTGAATGGTGGGGTGACGTGAGGGGTCGGGGGTCTGAAACGAGCACTTGATTGACAGGAAAAGCACTCATTAATATTGAGTGTCATTGAGGACTGACGTAACGAATGCCAGAGATTACGGTTTGGCATCAGAAGTGCTGTTTAGATGTTTCTGAAGTTTCTTTTATAAGTTTTGACTTTTTGGGTAAACAATAATCGCATGATTTAGTCGAGACACCAATCATTGACATTGTTTTTGGTGGTAAGCACGAGATATATAGTGATGATGCATAAACACCAACAACACTGATAAGGGACAGGTAGGGTATAACTCACGTGTAGGTACTCCCCGTACAACATGCCACCCTTGGGTATGACACGCGATGAACTGGCCGTTAGGTTGAGATTATGACCGAAACCCAGACCCATATCACAAGACGTCGACCTCAAGAACTCTCGGGCGTCCGCTTTGGCGGTCGACTCGGCGTCCGTCGGCCGTGTCGTCGACTGAGCGCCGGTAGCGACGGGACAGCCGTCTGATTGGAGGGCAAAGAACTCATTAACCGATACCCTGTGTCATCACGTGGAGTGTCCGACGGACTTACCTCCGAGGGTCACCTCCTGTTTGTTAGCCATAAGTGTTGATATTCACGACAAAACCTCTGATCTGTATGTTTGGTATGACATGTGGTGTTGTGTTTGTAATCATAAACAGCACTCAAAATAATAGTTTGTTTTCACGAGAAATCGACTTACGTTTAGAAAAGGCACTCAAAAACCAGTTTCCACTCGAAATATAATGTATGTATGGATTGAATATAAAAGTTATGTTTTCTCCCAAACTATACGAAATAGTTGTGGAAAGCAAATGAAAGCTAATCGCGAATTGGTTTAAAATCAATATTTAATTTGTGTGTAAATCAATATATAGTAACTAATATCGGTGTAGATGTAGAAGCGATTTGCCATCGGATCGGATAGTGAAAATTATGAACAGTATCTCTGGTAGGCCGTCCCCTAGTTCAGTCCAATAACATATGGATTTCCCACATTAGTGGGGATGTGTAGTATTTTCTAGTCTATGCCCCTCACCATCATGTGATGTGATAATACCTGTACAGACCTCCAGTTCCACCACTAATAGGTCCACTTTTGGTGATTGTTTTCTCGCAACAGGTCTCATATGACCGGATATTTTGTTTCATAAATATTTGTGTTTTATTTTACAGTTAATTGATGAGTGAATCAATTGTTTGAATAGAAAATCCATTTCTATAATGAGTTCCAATGAAATGTTGGAATAGAAAAAGTTTTGTCAACTTTTTCTAACAAGTGTTAAGCCATCTGTGGGTTTCCTATACAGGCATTGCGTGGTGTGTCAAGCAATCTCTCCGTTCATTTCATCATTGATTTAATTATCTGGAAGTGACGTCTGGAGTGGTGACCAAACTCATGGACTGTGATCTGTTGGGGGTATGGCTTCGGCACAACCACTCGGATGTCAGTTCACGAGTGATGTGAACGTGAACTTCGATACCAATCTATGTTGTGATCTACACATACAATGCATTTTAAAATGAGGCTATATTTAGATGGTTTGCTTAACTTTTAATTACATTGCCATTGATTAAATGGAAAATATATAAATAAGGCAGATATAAACCAGATACATTTTGAAAAAGTAAATTTTGTAACTTTGCATTGCAAATTCCTTGGTCCAAGGGTGAAAACATATGGTTGCAATTTGATAGTAGCTTTTATTTGTTTTCATTTTATGCTAAACATTAGAGTCTAATGATTAGACATACATATTAGACATTACTGTAAATCTGGTAAAACATAATCTCAAATAAATCAATTGTGATAATCTTGATAATCATTTTGTGACTTTTGTAATACAATCATAATTATGAATAAAATTCAAATAACTTTTACGATCAATAGACTCATTATATCTACTTTTAAAAGTGTAATCTGAACAAATTAAAAACTACTAAAATATACCTTGCTTATAGCCATAATAATAACGAATTTCATACAGGCAATGTTCTCATAGTATTTCATCATGGTACTTTTATTTCACTTTCTCCGGGAACCTTAAGTTTTGAATTACAATACAGACATTGAATGAGACATTGAGTGTGCCATAGATGTCGTGTAAGTCGTGACACAATACAGACATCTATTGCTTACTCACCAATGCATACAAGCCTTGCGTTTGTCAACACATTCAACACATCCGACCATTGAATTGATGATCACTTCCCCACACCTACTCTGCGGTGATGTCTGACTTGTGGTACAAATATGTGATAGCAATGGGTTTGTTATCATTACTGCATTCGGGATACTCTGCGGCCCAACACAGAAGTTACGTGCGATTAGTGGAGCAGGAGTTCAACGGTCCGCCCGAAGACATCGTCATCCAGTGTGTGGTCAGCCTTCTGGTGACCATCGCTGCCATTGTCTCATTGAATACGAAACACTTCCGCGAAATCCACGCATTGGACGACTTGAAGGAGAAGACCATCGACTCCATCAACAATAGACCAAACTTTTACATCTTTAACCACAGAGGAAGGCTGTGTCGATGATATGGCCATCACTTGATCCACGCTTTCTCACTCACGAAGTCATTGTTTTCTTAGTGTTTAGAGTTTTATATATTATTTTTTGGCATTAATTTAATTGTAATATCAAACGGAAACTCAGTGTTTGTGATAATTATTAAAAACCATTTAATGATTGAATAGTTATTTGTATATATTTTTCATCTCTATTTACACCACAGTCTCACTGTTTATAGTCTAATGGCGATCATAATTAGCGCTTATATTTCATACAATTTATAATCATTAGTAAAACTAATCGTCGATTAAAAGCAGTTTAAGACTTCTTGCGGTCGAAAGGGTCGGACCAGACCCTCATCCCTCCCGGCTGTATGTCCTCCTGTTTGATGCCCTGTCTGTTAGCCGTCTGTCTCTCCTCTAAACCATTCATACAAACAATGAACACATTTGTGAAACTCATTCAACACAAGTTGGGGTAAATTGTAAGCAAGGTAAGTGTCATACNATTCAACACGATTTGATCCAAACAACCCGTTAATCCTTAAATAATTAATCCCTTCTGAAGCGCAAACTCTTATATAGTTTTTTAAGATATTTGCTCAAAATATTTGTGACATTTTATACCTATTTTACAATATATTAGGAGTTTTTGACAGACATAAGACAAGTTTTTTGTTTTTAAGTGTATAATTCATACGTAATTTTATTATAGCGTAAAATTATTTTATGAATATATATATGCTTTTTAATACTCTATGATTCCTATTATTATAGTATAAAGAAAACATGCATTTAAAGTTTATTTTGTTATCAAATAACTAATTTGTTGCTCAACTCGTGATGTGTTTTATTTCTTATGAGAATAACTCAATTGGTCTTAAATTTCTAATCAAATTACTGTATTTGCAAAAATATAATGTATTTTGTATGTGTGTATGTGTTTAAAATATGATATGAACCCATAACCCATCTAATAATTACTTTATATAAAAACCTAAACATAAGTTTCAAAAGTAAACTTTCAACAAATATTGTTACACACGTATATAATTAATTGAAAAACTTTTCTTAAGAATAAAATTCAATCAAAATTGTTATGTTATAGTCTATTACTATACTATACTATACTATAGTCTATTATACAGTAAAGACAAAGTTTCGCAACTCTCAAAATAAAAGTGCAAAATAGGTTTAGATTGTTATCATTATGTAGAAACTCAGGTATTAAATCTTAGGACAGTTATGTCAACTCTCATAAAAGCGCCGGCATTTAGTTTTTAAAAGCAAGAATTTTATGGATATTTTACAAACTATTTTTTCCACCGAGAAATCACATGAGTTTTTAAGGGAAATATAATTAACATTTTCACCCAAACGAATAAAAACATTTCAAATGCCATTAATTGAAAAAACTTTGATCTAAAATAACATTTTTCTATGTATTCACTGTATATTCGCTGCAAAGACTATTAATTAAGTTTCAATGTTTGACAAAATAATTTCGCGCATAATATATATATATATATACTTGAATTTTTACCTTACAATTTTTATAAGCATTGAGGTGGTTATTTGCGAGATGTTTGTCAGATTTAGTTAATTATAATATATTTTCTATTAAATTATATATAATATAAAATTGACAACACAATTGTGAAGTATTTAATTATTATGATTATTAAATTTATTATTTGAGTATGTTTGGTTGTAAACTTTATGATTAAATATTTCCACAAATATTATGTACTACTATAGTAAATAATTAAGAGTAGCCAGCACATTTACAAATAATAGTATACTTGTCTCATCATACCCATACCCCTCTAAGGGAGGGTATGAAATGTGTGGTCAATTATTGCTAATATATAAACTAAAATTCCTAAAATTATTCAAATAAGATATGACAGTA